AGTCAGGCTAAACAGTCTGCCTGACACATACGACCATAGCCGCCAGCAGAGCTTTGGATCCCGTCTGATCTCCGTTAATAACCTGGTGAGCGCTGGATTAGTAGTTGGGTCGGCGACGACCAGCGAATACCTAGTGTTGTATGTTACTTTTTTGTAATTATTTTTTTTTAACTTACTCCGTGCTAGTACCCAGTATCTGTACGTGAGCAGCTGCTTGCAACTCGAGCGATGTAAAAAAATTAAAAATTAAAAATAACATTTTACCCCCCCTGCACAGGGATCGCCGATACCGACCAGGTCTCAGCAGCTTCAGGAACAACGCTAATTCTACTCCGTGCATACATAAAGCTTTCATGTGGCCGGCTCGCAGGTCCAGAAGCTCCGGGCACGGAGTACTCCGGAGGAGCCTGTCCTTGCACAAGGCCCAGCAAATGAAATGCCCGCTCTCTCCTCATCCCCTGTGTCAGTTTTTTATGGCCATTTCTTTTTTCTTGGCATTAAAATCCCTCGCCTCGGGCAGAGTAACCCAGCTCCCACATTCAAAAGCCTATTCACCTCTTGTCCAACCCCCTGTACTCCGTGATGGCTTTCCGCATCTCCTATCATAGCGTGCGCAGACGAAACAAACTTGTCCCCATTCGACGTCCCGTGGCCCAAAGGAATAACATCAATTGATATCGTGCCCTGCCGTGTAACCAACGTCTGCCAGTCGATTGACTCTCGGACCAAGCCCAGGATGCATGCAGCTCCCTGTCTCGGTGGTTCTGCCCAAAATGCCGGCGCCATGCACTCATTGTGCATACGGAGTAGTACATACATACATATCGACGTGTGCAGTCTGGTACAGGTGCCAGACGGAGCACGCCATCATGATGCGAAACCTGCGCAGCTCATTCGAAGCCCAAAGTTCGTCAACTTTGAAAGTTTGATGGCGCATTGATCGTCCACGGCCATGTCCAAATTTCGCTCCTCACATGGTCGGCCGTCGTCCAAACCCGCATTTTGCCCATTGAGTAGGACGCATCCCCAGCTGCCATGTGTCTCTGCGTGCGGATCATGTTGCAGCTCATCAGCCCTCTGGCCTCCCAACTACCCTGTTATGTACCTACAATGGCGTTCGTGTCGCTAGACCTCGTGGTGGAGGCAACTGGTGGTTTTGCATGATGTCACATCAGTCGAAGCCATGATGTGGCTCGTTCACTTCGGCCGTCAATCAATATACAATGGTGCGCTTCACGCGCGTTTGAATTTCCTGCATGCCATTGCCGGTAATGTGCAAATTATCCCTCATGTATTTTTGCCCTCCTTTCCTCAAGATCAACCTCGGCACGTACCAAGGCCAATTCAGCCAGTGGCTCACTTGAATGTGTTGACCACGGCTCAGCTGCAGCACACCAAGCCAAGAACTTACATCAAAGTCCACGTCTGAAGTTTTCGTAGCCCGTTCCAATCTTTTGTTTGTATCAATGCTCTCCGTGTGCAATAGTCTATGCTCCCAAACGCTGCTGCGGCGGCGGTAACAACGCCCAATTCCAAATAACCCGCCCCGAAGCCCCAAAACGCCATTACTCCCTCCCATTGTTGCCCAACCAACTCACGGCCCATTAGTGTTTCCAAATCAAATAAGCTTCGGCTGTTGAACTATTATGCGAGTCCAAGCGCAAGTTACTGAGCCGCAGCCCGTCTAGCATTCTCTCGTCCAATCTTCTTGAAAAATGCATTGCTGTCCTTCTTGCCCTTGCCCTTCTTGAGTCCCTGATTCACTCTCTTGTTCTGCTCGATATACGCCATGTCTTGGCCACCGCTCAGCTCGCCTAGCGTGCCCGCAGTCCTGCGCGGACCCTTCTTCTTCTTGCGTCCCATGCTACCGCTATGGAAGAGGTCGTCCGTGATATCTTCGTCTTCCATGGACTCGTTCTCCACCAAAACCTTTTGCAGTAACTCTCGTCGTTCACCGGCAGTGGCAAATGCCAGCCCAGGCGTCTTTTCGATATTGGCCAGTTGAGTAATCACCTTGAAGGCGTAACCTTGATCGACCAGGAAGGCTTGTCGTTTGGATGAAAAGTACATCTCTTGGGTGTCTTTGGAAACTAAAGAATAGAAAAAGGCGTTGAAGCCTTCGTCATTTCGACGCTTAGCTCGCAAGATACGGCCCAGACGCTGAGCTTCCTGACGTCGAGAGCCGTAGTGAGATGATATCTGTATGAGACACGTAGCTTCTGGCAAGTCGAGCGAGGTGTCGCCAATTTTTGAAAGAAACAAAGTGTTGACCAGAGGGTTGTGCTGGAAGTTCTCAAGAACTTTCAAGCGCTCGGGTTGTCCAGTACCGCCGTAGATGAACGCCTTGCCAAGCTTTAAGGCGTAGGCTTTCAAGGCGTACACATTATCTGAAAAGACAATAATCTTGTCTCCTCTAGCCTCATGATAATTGATGAGGTATTGGCAGGCCTGGAACTTGCGAGGGTTCATGATGTACAGCAAGTTCTTTTTCCTGGATGGCGCCCTCAAGTATTCGTCGTAAAACTCGGTGGGCATAGGACACCATACTTCCGCACATTGTACCCTCGCGATATGCCCTTGCTTGGATAACTCCATCCAGTTTGCCTCAAAGAGCTTTGGTCCGATTAAAAAGTTTAAGTCGGAAATCTTATCGTCTTCTCGGAGAAGAGTCGCAGTGAGGCCGAGCTTGGAATGAGTCTTGATGGAGGACGTGACCTTTCGGAAGATGTTGGCTGGCACAACGTGCACTTCGTCCAAAAGCATTAGGCCCCATTCTCGCCCTGTGAGGAACTTCATCATCTTATCGGCGTCGTATGAGCGAGCTCGCGATTGTGTCACCATGGAGTAGGTCGTAACAATGATGCCGGTGCTGCCAGTGAAGACGGATCCTTTGGAGTCTGATGTAAAAGCAACAATGTCGTCTGGATTGATGTTTGACCACTTCAGAAATTCGTTTCTCCATTGTACGACCGACATGGAACTGGTGCAAAGCACAATAACGCCCTTTTTGATCGTACAAGCAGCCGTGATGCCCACGAGCGTTTTACCGGCACCACAAGGCAGGACAATCAACCCACTCTTGGCTCGACCATTACCAAACATCTTACTGAGACTCTTTTCTTGGTACGGCCGAATTTGGGTGCCGGGCTTCAGGTCAATCTCCAGGTTTGAGTTGACCTCATCTCTACGAAAATCGTACTCCTCTAACACGGGGTATCCAAGGTTCAGACACTCCTTCTGGACAGTTTCTACGTCCTTGTCAGCAATCTCGAAAGAGTGTGTAACCTCTTGATCATCGTCGTCCTCTTCGTTGAGGGTGGCCAAGACGTCGCCTTCGTTGACGGCCTGCTCGTTCTGCTGTTCAGCACCCTGGGACAAACCATTTGCCTGCTTAACACCAGCAGCGTTCTTGGTACCAGGAATAACCAAACCACCAATCTTGGGAGCGGCCGAGGTAGTAATCTCTTCTGTGCCCTGGACGCGAAGCGGTCCTATGACAGGATTTTTGAGCAGCATTTGCAGCATCTCTGGGTCTGGACTTTCCACGTAGTACTTGGTATTCTTCAACACAAGCTTAACTTTTCCATAACTTTGTGTGCAACTCGTAATAAATGATCGAATTTCATCAGGAAGAGGCGTCTTCAGGAAACGCTCCAAGGTATTAATGATGTCGGTGGGAGAGAGGCCGACGGAGACGGCGGCGTACAAACTATGTGTCGTGAGGGCGTACTCGTGCATAAATGTCGGTCGAGAGAGCGGTTCGGCAATGGTAATTAGAAAGTCCTGCGCTTGTTCCGCCAAGGGATTGAAGCTCTCCAGAATGATCCTGCCCTTTTGCGGATCGATCCAAAGCGGGCGGTTCTGGTGATCCTTCTTGAGGTCCAGGTACGAGAAGTCACGGTCACCAAAAATGTGCGGGAGCGGCTCCCGAACGGCATGTCTTTTCTGAAAGCGATCTAGGGAGAACAAATCGATGTTTTTGTCGATGTCACGCTCGAGAACCTCGTCGACGGGCCCGTCATCTTCCTCCACATCATCAGTGCTCTCGAGGCTACGAGGCGTAGCTGCACCAGGCGTCGACACGCGCGAAGACCTCCCTGCCTTCGACCCGCCTTGCACGGCTGCCTCTGCCTTTCTCTTTGGTGGCATACTGGATGGATTGCCGCGACAGCTCGTGGGAGGGGGCGAGTGTCGGTGAATGGCAAGAGAGAAGTTTGCCGGCCGCGATCTAATGCACAAAGGTCAATGTATGATGACCCGTGGTTGGTTGTTGGAGGTACGTACCGATGCGCCAACCCAACTCGGAAGGCGGAAGGTTCTAGGGGTGCAGCTTGTCATTCAGGTCTGGTCTGCTCAGGCTGCGCCCAGTCTTATTCCAACCAGTCTTATTCCAACCCGACCTGTTTCATCGCGAGAAAATCTCTCGCCCGATTCTTCTCAAATAGCCGGTACGTAAACAAGTAGAGATACAATGATAAATGTCAGCATCTATTCTGATATTGTATCGTCACATTTGTAAGCATACACATCATCAAACTACTGGTGATTTCGGGTACGCATAAGCACCCACTTGTACTTCATATCATCCGCCAACGAACCCCGCCAAAATTTATAGGCCTTTATTCAGCAACCATCGCACCTCCAACCTCCCAGTCTCACGAGCATATCAGCTCAATACATAGTACTTTATACTCCTCCAAAGGCAAGGCATACACGGCCAATAATCATGTGGTTAGCAGCGCAAGCCATCCCCCCAGTCCAGTCCAGTCCAGTTCAGTCTGTCCACTAACCCCAGCCAGTAAACACGTCCTCAACGCACAAGTCTCGATCCGATCGCCATGCTGTACGTCTCTTTTCCCCCGGGCCTATCTTCCGAGCCGGTTTCCTGCAAATTCCAAAGACAAGCCGGCTGACTCACGTAACACCTAGGCCGCAAGTGGTTTGACTGCGCCGAGTGCCACCGCGAGCAAGAAAAACACCCCCTCCTCCAGAGTTTCGAAATGGTCTTCGCCTGCAAGAAGTGCAAGAAGTGCTTCCGCAAGGACACGCAGGAGTTCGAAGAGAGCGATGAGTACTGCCCGCATTGCGATAATCACTTTGTCATCGACGCCAAAACCCCGAAGGCTGCACTATCCGTGGAGAGCGAAGACGTAAGAGTCAACAACAAGATGCTCAAGGACGAGCGCGTCAGACAAAAGGATTACCGTACCATGTTCGACCCTGATGATGATGCGGATAAGCTGGGCTAGGCTAGACGGATTGGGAGCTCTTTTATCTTTTACAAGTGACATGATATGGGTTTTAAGCGGTGAACAAAAGTTCCGGCGTTGGTTAGGTTGGGTTGTTTCACATATATGGACAAACCTAGACGATGATGGAGGGCAATCATATCAGACGGGGCAGATGTTAATACAATGGCGTTGCGTCAACTATAGCAATGCCGCTAGCAGATAGCTCTTTCTTCTACACATGTTTAGATGTCTTCATACGTTTGTCATTATTCAGCAGCAGAATCGTCCTGTCCTCTTGTAAGAATCGCGGCACTGCCTGTTCCAGGTGTCCGTCCGGTCTTCTTCTTAGCAGCCTCTTCTTGCTTCTCCTGCTCAATCTCCTTCACGTAGCCCTCGATCTCGTCGGTCGGCAAGATCTCCATGGTAGCGCCAGGAGCCATGAGAGCAATTTCAATGTTCTTTGCGCCAGTCTGCACCACCTCAAGGAGAGATTTTATCGCCAACCGAATAGTAGCCTCTCGGTCCATATCATCTTTGTAGTTGCGTTCGAGAAACTCACGAACCGTCTTGCTCGATCGGCCGATGGCATTCGCCTTCCTGTATCGGATGGTGAGAAAATCATATTCAGGTCATGGTATCGTTGCCAGGATTCAGGGGGCGTACCATGCTGAGTAAATACCAGATGGCTCAGTCTGATACAATCTGGGGACCTTGCTGCCAGGGTCAAAACCAACAACGAGTGTGCTGATGCCGAATGGCCGCACACCACCAGCCTGAGTGTATCGCTGCTGCACACCCGCCACATACTTGGTAATGTAGTCGATGGTGACGGGGTCCTCCACAGACAGACGGTGGGACTGGGCCTCTAACCGAGCCTTGTCAACGAGGATTCGGGCATCGGCATTCAGGCCAGCAAAGGCCAGGGCAGTGTGGGTGTCCAAGAGCTGGATCTTGGAAGGGGTAATCCGAGTATCTTGCAGCTTCATAGCTGATCGCTTCTCGCATCCAAGGACAACCACATCCTTTCCTTTGACGCCAACAGCACAAGTTCCTGTTCCGAAAGATCAGTTACCGCGAACTCTGGAACGAGCGACTCTTGCTCCCGTTGTCATCCAAACGCACCTCGCTTGACAGCTTCACCGGCATATTCGACCTGGAACACGTGTCCGTCCGGACTATTGCAATGTTAGATGACAACGATAGCTTATACAGTTGGTGAGTGATTCGAACCTGAAGACTGGAAACAGAGATGAGGGTTAGCCGAGTTAACAGGTGAGGCAATGGCCGGTGAATAAACATACCAGATAGAGCTCTGTCGTAACCGGAAGCCATCGTTGCAGGGTCGGGTCAATTGTCGCGTTTTTGCAAAATGACTGTGCGACCCGTATTTCAGATGCCAAAAATCGATGCAAGACCGACTAAAGAAGATGTTGTGTTGAGTGTAGCAAGATGTCCACCGGAGTGAGAATGTAGTAGGTTCAGAGGGAGCTTCGTCAGACTTGCAGCCTACCCACGATAGCCTGTTGGCGGCTGAGTGACTAGCAGGAGCTACCCTCATGGTGGTCCGTGGGCGGATTAACACGAATGCCGGCGCCCGATGTACAGTGCCTTAAAGGCTATCTGGATTATTTGATACTGTACGACAAACACAATTCATCCGATCCCGAGGCAAGTTTTATGAATACAAAACCGCGATAGTATTTATAGCCCCTGGCGACCAAAAATGCTCCTTTCCTACCACTTTGAGGGCTGTTTCCAGCGCATGTACGAAGTATAATATTTTATTCTATACTAATCTATTAATTCCTCGCTACGGAGTACATCATGTGCAGATACCGCAACTTGTGACGTGCAACATGCTATCGCCAGTCTTCACTTCATAAGAATCATACGAAACCTCACTTACTAATTATTTACATCGCTACTCTGACTCTCTCCCTTCGCCTTCCGCCTCATATACCACTTGAAAACATAAACAAGAATCTGCGCCATGAAAACCTGGCAAATGTTAGCAACCGGCTCTCCTCACACCCTTCCCGCATATGAAAACCAGGAGAGGTAATTGGAAAGAGAAAGGAAAAGGTCCAGCGCCATACCTGCTCTATCGTATACAGCAAAACAGGGATCTGAATAAAGGCCCTCGTCAAGTCATCCGAGGCATTCCACATCGCCGTCACCAATGGAATGCCCAAGCTCGTCGTCTTGGCCGCGCCACAGAAACACACCGCAATCATCTGCTCCCGCGGCATTCTGCGAATCGCAAGAGCGCGACGAAGCATGCGCGGCAGTCGTCCTGCAACTTTAGACTCCGCAAGCAGCGGGTTTATCCAGTCCGCCAAGAAAGCAGGCGGCCGCGCGGAGAAGAAGCATATCGCCGTGTAGATGAGGTAAAGCGCTATATTCATAAATATGTTGAATAGAAGGGATGGCTTGGATATTTTAAATAAAGCGCCGGTTTGGAAAGCTCCCGAGAATGTCGTCCTGGCTTCAGTGTGAGCCAGTGCTGCTTGTTTGCATCTGGTGAGATGAGAAAGGGCAAAAAAATGACATGGCTCACCAGACCAATAATATGAGACAAAGTCCTGAAATCTTGCCCAGCTTCAAGACATCCAACGCCTTCTTTGTTCCATCCTCCTTCCACCACCGGACCACCTGTCCAACTACCAGCGGCAACACCACACTCAAACACAGTTGCTTCGCCACGTCGGCATACATGCGCCCCAAAGACGCAGGGTTCGCTGGTGCCCAAGAGGCGAATTCCTCTCCTCGGGGCATGAATCCATAAATTAGAATTGGCGATAGGAAAGAGCCAACGACATTGCCCAGGACGACCTCGACAACGGCGGCAGTCTCGTCACCACCCGCCGAGCGCGTCATGACAACGTTGGAGGCAATAGTCGTCGGGATACACGCGGTGGTAAGCATGCCGACGATGACGGGAACGGACGGAGTGCCACTTTGAAGGGCCCCCGCTGCGAGAGAGATGTGAATAACGGCTTTTTCGCGGTGTCAGCCAAAGGCCCCCGGGCAGAATAGATGCGGGTGTAGCAAGACGAAGACGCCCATACCAAGCACAATACAAGGAATCACAACAAAACTTATCCCCTGGACAAGGGCATGCAACCTCCAATTCGTCGCATTGGCCTGCAACTTGGACGGCGGCAACTGCAGCCCACTCACCAAGAAAATGAAGGCCACGGCACCATACAAAACACTATACTCGGACTTGATGACTCCCCCATGGGCAGCAACACCTACTCACGACACCGCAATCAGTTTCTGTCCCTACTCGTCACCTCAACCGAGCGAGCTCACCGGGAAAATAATACCCAACAACACACGCCACCCCGAACCCGATCAGCAGCCACTGCGCCAAGATGAGCCGAACCGCCTTCTTCGCCCATCTCACGGCTTTTATCGGTGCTGGGGCCTCGCCGACGGCATGACCTCCGTCTACTTCAACCATAATTCATTCTCCGCTGGCAAGGGAAGGACAATGGGGAGTAGGGATAGTAACGTAAAACACGGCTGGGGCCATCCGTTCAAGATTGCAAGAGACACATCGTGCCGATTTATTGAAAAACAATGCCCTCAAACTAGCAGTACAACTAGTTTAGCGAGCAACATGGGCTCCGATGTCGTTTGAGAGGCACGGATATAAGAGCGGGTCTAAGCCTCAACATTCCAACTTCCTGTTTGGGAAGACGTTATGCCCGCTGGTCATCATTTCCGCGGGTTGTGTTGCCACTATATAGTCCATTTGTCTTGCTCAAATCAGACGCGTGCTAGAGACACAGTGAAGCCTGCAGGGAAAAGCAATTATAGGGCTGCACAAAGTAGTCTTTTGACAGCTCCATACATCACTCGTCCGTTTCTCAGTGCAGCGCAACGTCGCTGTGCTCCATCATGGCGCCGACGCAGAAGCGGGACAATGACCGAGTGTCTCGTTTCTTGCCATGCTCAATGTCGGACTCACTTGTCCGGGCTGCCGGGCTGAAACGAATGGTATTATTTGGCATCACATCTTTCACCCTTTTTGAAAAAGCTTCCCCTGCGTTCAAGATGAGATTTACAGGCTTGGCTTCCATGGCCAATCATAGAATTGTCGACGTATCAAACGTCGTCACTAAACGATGCTAGGGGCCAACCATGCCATGCGGCAACCGTCTACAGATGTAGATAGATAAAAGTTTAACATCACCTGTCCCTCTCAGCAGCGCCTTGCTAATATTCGTACATGCGGGTGGTATCAATATTCTAAAAAAAAACATTAAACAAAATATACGCAGTTGGCAGGTAAAAACTCAAATAACCCCGTCTTTTTTATCCACGCAGCTGTGCGGCCCAAACATCTTGTCGTCGTTTGGTATTGATAAAACAGGCAAGGCGGGCAGTGTGCCAGTGGTGGTCTCTCCGGTGGCGCTCACGTCAATTATGTATACAGCCCAGGTCATCAAGCGGTGATAGCAGGAGCTGGCTCCATCGGTAAGGCAGTCTGCGATTCGCCCGCGCCGATGGTACTTGGTGCTGGAGCAATCTCGGGATCCGGTATCTGTATGTCAAGCTGGAACAAGTTGTCAGAAAATAATAGCTGGGACTGATGACGGCATGTATCACACTCACAGTCATGTACCCTGTCTGTCGAAGCGAAATCAACTTTGGTGGAATAATGCCCTCCTCAGATGCCATGGTCTTTTCCATCTCTTGATTCCACTTCTCAATCCACTTCTCGAGATTATGCAGCCGTGATTTAGCAGCCGTCAGGCCAAAGTCATCCCACAACCAGCCAGTCACGAGTCCCAGGACGCTGTCGAGCATGTTTCGAAACGTGAAGGGGTCGAATATAGGTATCAGCTCTCCATTCAGCTTTTCAATAACCCGTCTAAACTCTTGCTCGGAAACGCCAGCTGGGTCCAGGATTTCGGGGTATAGGTTGGAAAACGTCGGGGCCAGGTCACCAGCCACAAGCCAATCTCTCTTGACACGAATTATTCGCGTAGTCGCATACTCGACCGAGTCGAGAGGAACATGCGGGTTCAGATGAGGGAAGCATGGATGCTGGGGCCCCCATTCCTCACCGGCGTCTGGTTGTACATCGTCTCCCATAATTGAGGAGTTGGACGAAGAGAGGGCAGATCCAATGCCTTCGCCGTTTGAAATATTGGAGGCTCGATGGTCCATGACATCCGGACCCCGCTCGAGATCCTTGGAATATGGCCTCCTAGCATACTCACTCTCTGGCGCCATGGTTGCCTTCTGCTTGCCTTTACTCTTTGCTGAGAGGTAGGCAACAGAAGCTTCTTGGGCGTGTTGGTCGTCGACTTGTTGTTCCGCTGTTGCTTCCAAGTGCGTTGATGTGCGGTGCACGGAACGTTTTCCCTCGTACGATGCTCGAACAGACCGCGGAAGACTGATTCTGTGGTCGCTCGTTTCGCCGAGTTCAAGTTGAAAACTCACCGGCGTAGACTGTGAATACCTCGACCGCCGTTGTTCGGACAAGGTCAGGAGCGGGTAGTCGCCAGCACCGGTGGTGACGGGGTCACGTATATCCAGGGATCTGTCGAGCGCAGGGTGCTTCAGAGGCAATGCGGGAATGGGCGGTGACGAGGGTCGGCGCTTTCGGGGCTGGGGAAGCCGGGGCGTAGAGTTGGTTGGATTCCAGAGGCGCGCCGCGGGAAGCCGCCGAAGTCGGTGAGCAGGATCGGTTGTCGCCTTGTTGGTGCGAGGGCGAAACGGTGACTGTACCAGGCTCGGCTTATAGACCTGGCCATGCACGGAGGGCTGCGGCGGGCTCAAGGCTGCCACGGCTGCGGCAGCAGGCTCTGCGGGGCGGTCGAGTGAAGCCAGAGGATAGGCAGGTTGCTGGGAAGGGGCCTTTAGGCGACGGTTGGCCGGCTTGTCTCGGGCGGGCGTCTGTGTTGGGGAGGAGGATGGCGGGAATGGGTTCGGCGTCGTGATGCGGGAGTCTGGATCGGCACGGCGACGACCTGGACGGCGGTGCTCAGGGTGCTCAAGGTGCTCAGGGTGCTCAGGGCGCTCAGGGGTGATGAGGGAAGGCGCTGGCCTGGAGCCGCTGGTGGTTGCGGCAAAGCGAGAAGGCGGTGCTGGCGGTGGTGCTTGGGCTGTGTCTCCACGCACGTGAAGTTCAAGCTCGCGAGGCGGATGTGTTGATGATGCGGCAGACGTGTCGAGAGGGCCAATCGGGATATTGGGGTTGGCGGTGGTGGTGGTGTGTTCGTCCGGCAGTTGGGAACGAGGTTTTCGCCGCCAGAACGGCCAGAAGACGGGGGACATGCGGAGGAGGAAGTGTCGACAGCACTTGAGCGCTTGAGGCGTGCCAGACGGCCCCGGGCCACATGCACCGTCAAGTGGCCACCAGACTGCTGTTGTCACCGCTGCCACCGCTGGCGCTCCCACTACTGCTGTGGACTCGACCGCTGTGGTCCGGTCCGCTCAGCGCGACAACAGCGTCGATGCCGCCCGTCGCAGCACTGAGGCTTCAATGTTTAGTGTTCTGGCTCTGGAGGCTTTCGGCTTCAGGCTTCAGGCTTCAGGCCCCGCGCGCCAACGCCGGCATCAGCGCCAAATATCAGTTCCAAATCTCAGCGCAAAGCCGAGGGCAATGTCATGGACAGAGTGTGTGTGGTGAGACAATGCGAGGGCGGTTCAAAAGATGCCAGGCCCGTGATGGCTCAATACGCGCCAGGGCCTGGATGGGCTCGGGACTAGTCAATAGTAATTGATGGCTGGGTTGCATCCACGAGGACAGCCACCATCGGATTGCTCGCTCGACGAACTCGTCCTCCCACGCGCAACGGCCCGGCGACAAAGAGCACGAGTATGAGGCAGGGGAAGAAAAGTCGCCAGTCGAAACAGCAAAAATAAAAACAAACACGCTAGCTAGTAGTGGGCGTTGGGCGAGATTTTGAATCATGGGCATTGTCCACCATTTCAACCACGGCACCCCCTTCAATGTTCCAAGCCCCCAATGGCCCCGTCGCGGCGTTTTGGCAACAACATCGCCACCGGTGCAAATTGTTCTATTTTTTCCAACAGGGTCGGCTGGCTCCGAGCCGGTTGGTGGTTGGTTCAGTCATCCATCGTCTGCGTCGAGCCTTGACAGTCGGCGACACGAGTTGTACTATTCAGCTGCTTCGAAGTTGAACCACCTCCGTGATCCGCATGATCCGGGCCAATTGAACAAGGCGAATCCAACAAGTCCAATTTCAGAGGCAAAAAAAAGAGACGTCTGTGTACCGAGTACGGAGTCGGAGCGTATCTTGCAAATTGTGGTTCGAGTTTGTTTCTGCTGCCGTCGTGACCGGGGTTCCTGGCACGAGCATACAGGGACCGGTCCAATGAATGGCAAAATCAGCAATACCATAACTGTGACCTGTGTTCTTGTTTTCTTCTTCTTGTTTTCTCCCCCGTCTCTTTACCCCGTGCTCTACCTTGGTCTGCACCGGGTTGACAGCGTCCCGGTTTCCGTTCCAAGTATGACGGTTTTGCGCGCGTCACGACAAGTCTGACCGCGCCCAGCCTCCCTTGGTATGGACTAATCCGATCAGACGAGGCGAGGGTGTAGGGGGAAAAAACGACGCTATAGCCCGGTGTGATGTAATTCATGCAGTGACGCCATTAGTCCGAATCAGCAGTACGGAGTACGGAGTAGAGGGAGCTGGATGCCCAACTTGATCCACACAAATTATAGGGTAGCAGTTGTGCTACCATGAAATATTACTTGCAGATGCGCCAGCTTCAAGATCGCCGACCGGGAGGAACATGCCGTCGCAAAAGCTGCCTGGCTGCTGTCTGTCTGCTGGTTCCAGATGCCCTTCTCCCGTCCCAATCATAGGCCACCTGAGGTCGGAACCAGCAGCAGATGCTTTACATGTTGGATCACCAGGTCATTGGGCAAAGGGAAT